AGGATCTTTTCCCCACCCCCTCCACCTACCCCATCCGATCTCAGGTTCTCCACCACCCTCCAGTGCAGCTTAGGAAACCAGTTCTTGTCCAGTCTTTTTTTTTTCCCCCTTCCTTTTTCTAAAGTAGACACGCCTGCCAAGGCCCAGTGCGGGCCGTCGGCTCAGCCTGAGAGGATCTCGAAAGATGCGTGCCAAGCTCAGATTCACTTCTTTTCCCTTCCTGCCCACCCTCCGCGGCAGTAATGCCGAACACAGAGAAGCTGTAGTAACTCTTTCCAAAGAAAGGAACAGGAGGAAGCGAGCACTAGGAGCAGAATTTGAGGGCCGAATTTGTGAGAAAACATTTCTTCCACCTAATTCTTCCTTCTCCGAGTGCTAAGTTTTCACAAGAAGAGGATCCATTCCTATTCCCATTCTTATGAGCATTCAAATGCAATCTGATCTACTCTTCTGGCATGCTTTCCACACACGTAGTTGGGTCAGGAAAGATCGGGCACAGGCTCCAGGGATGTCTTAACTAATCACGTAAAACAGAAAAAAGGTTTCCCGGTCAGCCGGGGCATGTCTGAGTCTGGGAATGGGTTGCTTAGATTTCTCAAGGAATCAAGAAGGTGGGACGAAGTTGCGCAGCCTTTCTAGACAGGACCTCTTGAGCAGCCCGAAGCATCATCACCAAAAGAAAGATTATTTATCAGAGGACTGTACATCGAGAAAACCCTGCCCCAAGAGAAAGAGGGACATTGGGGAGGGTTAACAGAAAACAGAGGGTTAAAAGAGAAATATACAAGGTTAAATAGAAAAACGGTTAATAGAAAAAATCTGTCGCTGAGTCGAAGGCAAAAAGCAAATGAAGAAAAGAGAAGAAGAAAGAGAAAATAAAAATAATATTTAAAAAACAACAGAAGTAAATGTGTTTGAGTTCACGTACCAGATAAATAAGAAATCTGAGCCCAATTAGTAAGGGATAGTCGACTACTGTACGTTTTCTTCTTGACCAAATGACCAAAAAACTTTACCCTCCGGGAAGGAAAAAAAAGGGGAAAAATTCTTATAAGCACCTGATAATCATCGGAGAGAGCATTCTGAACGGGAAAAAATGATCCCCAAATGTTGGAGTTTGATTTTATATGCTTCTGAACCTGATAACACAAGATCATGGAATTTAAAGCAGTATAAATGCATTTCGGATTAATGTATTAAAAAGAGACATAATTAAAACCAAATCCTTTCTCTGATTTTGTTTGAAAATCTTTGGAAGTAAATCACTATGGATTAGAAAAAGAAACCGAGCAAAAGAATAATCATCATCCAATTCATCCACTGCTTTTAAAAAGTAGAAAATTATAGTGTAACATAAAATGTTATTTGAAAATTTTTGTTGTAAAAATTAAATACGATGAAAATGATGGGTTGCTTCATCTAGAATAAGGTCAATATGAAAATTATGCACTGAAAAGCGTAAGTAATTTGAAACAGAAATGGCCTTTATTAGGAAAAGCAAGAAAAAAGAAAAACAGGAAAACACAAAACTTTCTAGAATTCTTATTTTAAATCGAAAGTGCAAAAAATTATTAAGCAATATATACATTAATTGTAAACTTTTTTGCTATAGTGATAAGTCCTCTTCCGAGTTTTTTGTTATGTATTGACTTATTGCCCTGTGCAAATCCAAAGTTTAAAATATTTTGAGATTTCTCCCCAAAGAGCTAAATTGAGCAAATAACTAAAAAAAATCTTACTAGTGAGAAAATTAACAGAATAAAATGTAAAATAATAAAAAACAAAAAAACTCCAAATTGTAATCTACATTTAATTGCATACTTTATTTAAATCACCCTGCTCCTGGATTTAATCATTTAGAATCATTAGTTTCCAGAAAAAAACTTTATAAAATATTTACACTTTATAAAATATTAACTGATTAACAATACGGTTGTGTTGTTTATAGAAGTTTAACCAGTACTGTAATCGTGCTGTCGACATAACTCTCTTAGGTTAGCAAGGAGATCTCATTTGAGAAATGTAAATGAAGATCTTCCGACAGTGGTGTTTATAAAATAGCTCATTAATGGTTTTGGATTGAATCGTTCCAACCATCCGCATCATCAGTTATAATAATAGTGACGAATCAGACAGGAAAGATTCTGGCTAAATCATTTGCATTTTTTTTTCCAGAAGTACTGAAGTCCTAATATCACCAATTCTTCTAAGTTTCTGGACATTGATCTGGAGGATTTCGTGGATCAGCAGCAAGGTAAGAAAAGAAACAGTATATTATTATTATTCATTATTAAGGCATTAGCGAGAAATAAGTTATCGAATTTGAACGGTACAAAGTTTTACGTTTTTGTTCAATTTCTTTGACTCAATTTCCGACGTGATATTACAGGGGGAAAAATAAGTTGGTTGCCCAACTTAATTTCTTTGCAGCCACTAAGTTAAACTTTTAAAGTACTAACTCGGGTTGATGTAAGTCAGCCAATTTGCTTTCACCGACTCCACATTCTGCATGCCCTTTACCCAATTGACTCAACTGTATCGGAGACTAAGGTGTTGGGGGAAAGGGGCAAAAGAGTGGCACGGCTTTAAAAAAAAAAGTACCGCAGCTCATTTCTTTCCTTACGATCCTTTCGCTGGGGCCCTAAACCCAACTCTTTCGCTGGGCTATTGGAGGCTCTCTCCTCCGGGGCACCGGCCAGATGTGTTGGGGGCCAAGGCTACGGAGTTGGAGCTTCATGGAGACCTTTCTTTCTCCAACAAAGTTTCTCCGCTTTCACCGTTTCATGTCTTGGGGGAACCAGAGCAAGCTCCGCTGCCGTGTTGGGCACAGCGGGTGGAAACGTAGCCCCCTCTTTCTATGTTCTGAGATTCCTACTCCCCCCCCCCCCCAGCCAGCCTAGCCCGGCTTTCCAGAGGTGCCGGCTCAAGTGCGTTTCCCTAAACAAAACTTGGTTTGGCCCTCTGGCGCCGCCATACAGGCAATGCTTCTTAAGGGGGACCGTCTGCTTTGGGAACCACAGGCTGCAGGGAGCCCTGGGGGAGAGGTGGACGTGTGGGGGAGAAAAGAGAAAGAGAGTGGGAGGAAGTCAGGCTGGGAGGGGAGGGGTGGAGAGAAAGCCATGAAGGATGCAAAGGCTCTCTCAGCCCGCTTCTCTGGAGGGAGGGGGAGCCCCCCCAGCATCTCCCAGCTCTTCCCCTTTCCTCCCCAACCCCCTCCCTTCCCTTTCCCTCCCCCCCCCCCATGGTGTGGCGCGTGTGCCCGGCCGGCTTCTAGCTGAGGCCGGGACCCCTTCGCCCACGTGCCCACTCTTTAAGGAAGCCCGGGCCGGAGGACCAGGGTGGTGGAGACAATAGCGCTGGCCCGGAGCGTCTGCCCGGGTTGGGGCTCGCTCCACCTTAAATTGGGACTGCGGCTGCAGCCGCCGCCGCGGCTGCCACGGCGGGGACACGGACCTCTCCCGAGAAAGGGAGCTAGAAAGGAAAAGTTGGGGTGCAGCTGGGTGTTTTCGGGGACCGAGCCCAGGCTGTTCCCGTCCCCTCGTTCCATCTCCGCCCAGGCTCTTCCCTGCCCCGTCCCAGTGGCGCTTCTTCAACCAGAGAAGCGCCGAGAGCCCCGTGCTGTCTGCACTCGCCTCCTCCGAACCCTCCTAGAACCCGGGCCCGATCCTCCCTAAGGAAGCCCGGGCACTCCAGGGGCTGGCTGTGGCCGCAGGAAGAGCGTTGGGAGGGAGTTGGGAGAGAAAGAGAGATAGACCCGCCGCCTCCTGCAGTGCTACACTGGCTTAGCCCCGATCCCCGGTCACCCACCCTTAGCGCCTCCGCTGCGCTCTCCATAGAGCCTCCCCCAGACCTGTTCCACCGCCCCTAGTGATGCTCTCCTTCCCGGCCGCCTCTCGCCGCGGCCCGGCCCGGGAGCTGAGGGAGCCTCCGAAGCAGCGCCCGGCGCTTAACGAGAACACCTCGCCGCCCTGTCACCCGCTATTGTTCTCGGACACTTTGCTATTTCCCGTATAAAGCGTGAACGTTCATACGTGTCTGTCTCGGGGTCTGGATCCTCAGCTGGCCCCTGACGGCATGCTCCGGGCTGAGGGAAGAGCCCCAAACACACAGGGAAAAGTTACTCGCAGGGGCGGAGGAAAGGGGTGGCGGGCGGGAGGACGGGGTAGGTGGGAGCTGGAGGGGAGTGAGGGGAGGGGGAGGGTAGGGTGGGGGAGGAGGTGATCGCCCTCCTATCTCCAAAGTCGAAAGTGCTAAGCGCAGTTGACAGAAAAGGAAGCTGCGAGAAAGAAGTGGGCTGGTCTGGGTCTCCTCCGGCCGAGGTGCGGGGCTCGGCGCCGGCGCTGCTGCGGCTGCTGCTGTCGCCGCCTCCACTTCCCGCAATCCTGGAGAGGCGGCCTCTGCTGCGGAGCGCGGCGACGGATCCGAACACCGGAGAGCAGCGCTGGCCTCGCTAGTCCTGGGTCATCACTTACCACCGTCCTCGGCTCCCCCCCCACCCCCATCCGTGTCTCTGTTGTCTATCCCCTTCTACTCCTTCAGCGGCGGCGGTGCCACCCCTCTCTTCACTTCCCTCCCTTTCCTACCCCTCCCCGGGCTGCCCTGAGCTTCTTCACCCTCCAGCTCCCATAGACTCCAGCTTTACCCTCCTCCTCTACCTCCTCCCTTCCCATCCTTCCTACACCCCCACCCCACCCCCACCCCCTCGCTTCTGCAGCCACGGTGCAGTTGGGTCGCTCCGAAATGTAAGATTGATTGATTGATGTTTAATTTCCTGCCAGGAGGGTACCCCCTCCCTCCCTCTCTCCCTCCCCCGAAACCTCCCCAGTTCCCCTCCCTGCCCCCACTCACTTCCCTCTCTGATTGTGGTGGAGGAGTCTGGATTGGAGTTTTTGGTCGGCTTTTTTTTTTTTTTTTTTGGGTGCCTGATCCCGAAATATCCCAGAGACTTTTTTTCCCCTTCTAAATTATTATTTTGAAGGAGCTAGATCTGGGGACGGAAAGGAAGGGGGGGGGAGGAAATCGGAAACCAAGGACAACCCAAAAGGACTCACTTTGCCTGATGACTCAACGCAACTAATAATCATCTCCCTCTCAGAGTGTCTCTCTCTGTGGCGTGTCAGTGAGTCCGGCTCGGGCTGCTGCTGCTGCTGGCGGCGGCAGAGGAGGGAGAGACTGAAAGTGACATATCTGGGGCTGTTGCTCTAGTCTCTCCCTCTCTCGGTCTCCCCCCCCCCCCACACTTTTTTCCTTGATTGTAGCACCCGCTGCAGCTGCTGCTGCTACTGCTTTTCCTCTCCAGAATAGCAGCCCCTTTAGCAGCAGCAGCAGCGGCCGTCGCGGTCTCTCGATTTACCCTGCCCTTTCTCTCGATGCATTGGTTTCTTTCCTGAAGGTGTGAAAAAGCCTGTTTCCCCCTCTTGCCTTCGTCTTTCTTCACCCTCCCCTTTTCCCTCCCCCAACCCCTCCGCCACGAGCTCTATTGCCCCTTTGGTAGAGCCCTTCCTCCTTCTCCTCCTTCTCCCCTCCTCCTCCTCCCCCCATCATCATCATCACCAACATCACCATCACCACAATCATCTCACAAGAAGAAGACATCCTGACCCAGGACCTTAAAACATTAGGACTGGAGGAAGAGGAAAGGGCAAGGAAACAGAAAGGAAGAAAACAAGAACGTTAAAAAAGGAAACAAGAAACTTTCCACCCTGGATTCTCTACTTTTGATCCATGGACAGAGCTCAGCTCAGCCAAGTTACAGACAGACTATAAGCAGTAAGTACAGAAGATAAGACACTCATACTGTATAACCATCTTTTATGAGTTACGATAAAACACTCTGGGTCAGATATAGTTTCATTCTTGACTCCCCCTCCTTCCTTTTCCTTCTAACAGCTGAATTAATTGGGAATGAATCGGTCCTGTCCTCAGTCTTCTCTCCTACTCCTTCCCACCCTCACCTGGTTTCCAAAATCTTTATCAATGCGGCTTTATCAACCGGTGAAATCCTCCTGTGAATGTTTCTCACGCAGTTTGTTGTGTTTTTACTACTTTGTAAAGTCAGCTGGCAAACGTGAACGCCGTTTAATTAAGAGCATTTCCCCCTTCTTTCCACCCACCCCAAGGCCTCCTCCCTACCCTGCCCCAATAATTGGTGCGACCTGCAGGTTCTGTGATGAGAACGTTGGAAGTGAAAAAACCCCAGGAAAACTTTCTGAAGCGATTTCTGAATATGAATTTTATGTAGTTTGACATTTCATCAATGAATCAAAATGATTTTTGACCTTGTACTGTGGTGTGGATCCCTTTCTCCCTTAAATTCTGGGTTAGATGAAGATAAAAATGTTGCAAAATAATAATTGCAGTCTCTCTCTTTCTCTGTAATAGAGATTACTCTGGTAAATACCCAGAAGCACTTTGAATGCTGATTACTGTTATTATAGATTTGGGTCTTTGAAAAGTTATTCGTGTATTTGTATCTGTGTTGTTTTTTCTTCCTTTTAAAATGATTCTGAAAAAGATAAAGGGTGTTTTTTTAAAGGATGCTGTGTGCTCTCACGTTCGTGCAGCATGGCCACTCAGTACCGAGTGCATCCTTCGTTTGGTGAACCGGGTTATTTGATAGATGTGCGAATGTGTGTGTGCACACCCCTCCCCCCTCGCAATGTGTGTGTAGAGTCTTTCCCGAAGTTCAGATCTTCTCCCGCCCTCACCCCGAGCACAGTGAGATTGTCACGCCCAGGAATGATTTATGCCAACGAAGTTCAAATGAATGGGCCACTTCTGGGAGCCCTCTGGAACTTGCCCGTGCCCCAGCCGCACAGTTGCGAAGTCCTAGGGAGTCGGGTTAGTTTAGGGGTGAAAGCACAAGCTTCGGATCCACTTCTGCCTGACAAGTGCAAGTTTGTGTGCCGTATGCACTCTGCAGCTTGGACTTTATTTGGCTAACGCGGGAGGAGGAAGTTTGTATTTATTTTGTAAAGCAATGTATAACTGGCTTGAACATCTATCACGTGTGTGAGCAGTTTTTCCCTCTTTTTTTTCCCCCCTCTTTCCCTTCCCCTCCTCCTCTTCCCTTTAGGTCCTTGCTCATTTTATTGCGATCTGCCTGTGGGAACTTTGTCTCCGAGTCAAAGTAGCATGGAGCGGAGAAGCGAGAGTCCCTGTCTAAGGGACAGCCCAGATAGAAGGAGCGGCAGCCCTGATGTCAAAGGTCCTCCTCCCGTGAAGGTGGCCAGGCTCGAGCAGAATGGCAGTCCCATGGGAGCCAGAGGGAGGCCCAATGGCTCCGTGACCAAGTCAGTGGGAGGTAACCATCCAATAGTATTAACGTTCACATAACAGACTGGCAGCAAAGTGATAATAGCATCAGGGTGTCAGGGTTCATGTTGATTAAGCTTTCCTTCTTGGTGTAGGATTACAGGAAGTGGATTCCAGATTGTTAAATAATGCCCCACTTGCCTTTCATCAGCAAGTAGCAGCTTCATCTGTATAGTTAAGACAGAAAGTGGTTTACCCAGAGGGTGGCATTTTTTGGGCACTTTGCCACTGTGTGCTGAGGTGTTGGCAGGTTTATGTCACAGCCAGCTAACTGTTTCTAGCTTTTCCTAGAGAGCATTTTTTAGCGATTTTACTCTCTTCGTGAGCCTAAAAGGGTCTACAGAAGAGAATAAGTTTAGGTGTGTTTGCTTTCACATTCTGGTCAGTAATGATCAATCTAATATACTCCACAGCCTCATTTTGTGTCTGTGCCAATGCTTCAAGGTAGAATAATCTCATTATTACTCTTCTTTGAGTATCTGAAAGTTAAAAAAAAATGGATCACAGAAAATTTGTGTTGTATTTCATTTTGGTTCTCTGGATACTTATTGCTACCTTTTCCCATATTCCAATAGTTACTTGGGGGGAGGGGGACAAAGAATGATTGAAGCTTTTAAAATAATGAATTTGTAACTTAGTTATAGACTGTATCATAGCCTTTAAAGTTAATGGACTGTGGGCATCAAGCACGTTCTTTCATTCATTCATTCCTGAAATTTTCATTTGAAGAAAAACCTATGGTAGTATTTTGCTTGTAAGCATAGTTCCTTTGCAACTAAATGGAAAAAGTAGCCTTGAAAAAAGACAGATAGACTAGGGCCTATCTATGTTAAGGAGGATTTTAGTAGGAAATTGTATATTTTTTATGTATTTTTTATTTCTACAACTTTGTGTCTCATTTTTAGATGTCAAATTCTGCTTGACTTGAAACTTTGAGTGCTTTAAGATATAGCTTACTATAATCAGTTTCATTTTTCCCTTTTTTCGTTAGTAATTCAAACAAAATAATTATTGTCTGATATTCTTTAGGGGGGATGTTAGAAGGTGTAATCTGATGGAAAAGATTGAAGATTTTTTTTTTTTTGCTTTGTTGTAGGTGGGCAGATTGTGTGTTTCTAAGTGAATAATTTAATTGTCAGCTTTTTTTTTCAAAGTGAAGAAACAAATAAGTTGTAAACGTGTGTAAAAGAACTTGTTATTTATTTTACCATCAAACCTCCTTCCTCATTACTCCATTGTGGAAGTGTAGCACTTTAGATAGAGTTACCTAGCTTAATTGCCCTCCCATATGGGAGGTATTTACCCCCTAAATTTCTGTAGCTTAGCCACAGACTGAGAATTTTAGTGATTTGAAAATTTACTTCAATAAACTAAGAAGAAATCTTTATGGCTTCCTATTTTCAGTAGCATTAAATTAATGGCCAGTATCATAGAGAAGAAGGAGGTAGTAACTTAGCTGTGAGTCTCCTAAAGTATTCTAGTGAGACTATATTTGAAAAAAAAGGTCTCAATTCTTCACTCTTGCATAGTGATAGCTCCTTATTAATTTGATTTGAAAATGTTTGTAATACACCAGTAAGCTTGGAAAATAAGAAGTAACCTTTTTGAGAGATAATGCAACATCCCAGGGGCCTTGTGATTAAGGAAAGAATGGGAACATGAAAGTTTTTTATTTCCCTTATAAGAAAACAATGACAAAACGTTTTTAGGCTATAAATTTTGTTTTGTAATTATAGCTCTACTTTGTAAAAAGAAGTATAAGGGGGTTTGTGATTACATTAGTGGTTCAGATTAAAGCTGGCCTATTTAAACGAGAAGAATTTCATTCAATTTTATATTAATACCATCATGCTTAAAATTAAGGATTAAAAAATAACCTAATAGTATGTACTCTTTATCATATGACATATAAGCTTTATTTAAACTGAAGTTTTAATGTCTGGGGAAAGATGTTAGTTATGTTTTACCAGGCTGTTCTTGTGCTTCTTCATTTTCCCAGATTTTTGTAATATTCTATACTTATTAATGCTTCTGAAAGCAAAATAGAAAAATAAATTAACTTTGTTTAAATTTAAAATATCTACAATAATCATTATTAAACTAGTTAAATTATACATTTGGTAGGATGACAATTAAGATTTTAAAAAAATATAGCTGTCAGCAAAAATAGCACAAAATATTTCCAGTTATATTCCAAAATGGTATTTTAAATTGTTGCCTTTTATTCAAAATAGCCAAGCATTTTCAACGTTGTATATACTGAAGAGGATTTGCAATCACTTATTTTGTAGATTTTAATTCATATGAGGTTCCAAAGTAGACACCATTATAGTAATACTTGTGGCCTTACCAAACACTGATCAGATCTATAAATTGGAGAACAACATAATTAAATTACATTTTAAACAATTTTTGGCACATATTTAAAGCTGTACTTTTTAAAGTATGCAAATGTTTATATGCAATTTAAAATATTCTAACTCCAGGTATTTTTATATAATCACCTCAATAATTAAAAAAAACTTTATAACTTGAACTCTAGTATTAAAGGATAAAGAATACTCTTCTGCCACCCCATCTCCTTTTACTTTAGCTTTCTTCCAGAAGTATTATCAATTGATATTACTTCAGAAATGCATATTACAGATATTTCTTCAGTGATCTTTTCTACACTGTGAAGACAGACATAATCAAAAAGTGCAAAAAGAGAGTGAGATGTCTTATTTTAGGGAAACAAGTATTTAATGAACTTTATTGGGCTTTAAAAATTTCTCACAAAAGGGGAAATATTAAAATTAATTGCATTAGAAATGATTATTTCTGCTGTTGATTTTGATAAGGATTGAGATGGAAAAGCACACATGCATTTTTTAAATTGGGAATAGAAAATTCTAGTTGGTGTTTTGTAATCATTTAGTTTTTTGGAACGACTTTTATGAAAATTTAATGAATGTAAAGGAAACATTATTATGGTGACCATAGTAAATTAGTTTTGGTAATAGATACATAATTACTATCTTTAAGGTTGCTTTTTTTATAGGTGGTTTAAAAGTTTGATGTTTACAGTGTGGCTAATGTCAGCAGGATATACTATAAAGTAGATCAGTTTTTCTTTGTGTAGTCCAACACTTTCTAGGATGTTTCAGCAGTTATCTAGGCAGACTGTTTTAAAACATGTATGTAATAAAATATAAGTGCTCAGATGTGTATGACTGGCAGGTTTTATAGAGGGTCTTCAGAAAAAAGGCTAATATCCCTTTAAAAAACATATGAAGCCTGGGAGAGAGTTTAGAGCAAGCAAGAGCACTGTGGTGTTGACAGCTTTATATCCCTGTTGGGTAACATTCACTTACTAGAATTGGCGTCCCCTCACAGTTAGTAATTCACTCCATAAGGATTTTGAAAAAAGGGATGATTAATAGTTAGGTTATTCATATTTGTGAAATCATTGATTAAAACTTGTGAATCTTAATATTTTTAAAGGAGATTATTAAGGATTTTGAAAATAAGAGTTTAAGGATCCCTTAACAGATATTATTATATGCACCAAAAATATCCTGCTATACATAATGCTTCAGTATGGCAAATTAGGATAGAAATGTATATCAATGCCAATGAAATATTAGGGAGAAAGCAGCAAAACATTGTGCTTCCCCCCCAAGATTGTATCAATGGGCCAACTAGAGTTTTAATAATTCTTGTTTTTCATTCCATTATTACTGCAAGCCTTTTCATTTTTAATTATTGGTTTAAGGAAAAAAATGACTTTCATATGGATTTATTTAAACTGTATGGACAGTACTTGAATACTCCAAATTATTTAATTATTCAAAAGAGGTTTTAAACATTAGATATCTTTCTGACCTTGTTCAGTTTCATATCTTTCATGATTTTTTTGGTTCAGTTTTCAAAGAAAATATATTGATGTCTATTTAGGTGTAGGGTATGAGTGTTATGACTTTTGTTTTCTTGAATTAGGATTTAATATGCTTCTCAAAAAATAATTTTATTTCGTTAAAGGATTGTCTGTCCAAATAAGTCTTTTATAGATAGTTTCTCCAAAGTGGATGAGCTATCCTTCTCTGGTACCAGGCAGCCCTTTCAAAGACATAACTCTCTTGTTGTAGGGAAAAAGAATTGTTATATAACATGTACTGATGTGTTCAAATAGAAAAGCAAATGTGATCAAGATTGTTCGGCAGGATCTCATTTAGAATTGAATATTGTCTGCAACAACAGTTAGTTTAATTGTCTACATGTGGAACATTTCCTTATAAGTAGATAGAGTAAAGATTAAAGTAATAGATGTTACACATCCATCAGGTCAGGTATAGTAAATATAATAACTATTGTAGTGAGAAGTTTTCCTTTAAGAAATGATTGTGTGTATGAAAGTTTGTAAGTTAGTTGGTAGATTGGAAATATATTATCGTTTTTATGCAGACTTGGACAAAAAACTCATCAAATTAATTTTAACAAAAAGATGAACATAATATTTATTTCTCTTTATGATAAAATTCAGTGTCATTTCTTAAAAAGAGAAAAGAGTCTTCTGAAAAAGGTCTCTTTTCCTTCTCCTATTCTGACTTTATTTTAGATCTCTTAAATAGAATCAGCTTAGCCTGTGGGGTCATCCAGCATCTCCTCTATTTTTTTGCTGTGTTTTCAGTCTTTGGCCTGTTATTAAAATAAAGACATATTTGGTTAAAAAATATATGCAATTGAACATGCACATTAAACAGAATATAGGGTATCCACCCATTCAGTGTCCTAGGCATAATTTGATGTTTAAAGTATCTTTGGAACTTTTGAATTCCATCTTGAGAAACCCACTGACCATTATATATTTGAGTTTTCAAGATCATGTATGGTGAAATTTAAAAAAAAATCTATTTAGCAGTCATTTGAGGTATATCTTATGCTCACAGAAAATGACCATTTTATTTAGCATGTGGACAGCAGTGAGTAAGCCCAGGACAGCTGGAATAT